TTATGACCTAACTGCGGAGCGCATCAAAACAGTGACAGAGTGAGTTTATATATATATATACACATATGACGAGCTTGCTTCCCGCGGGTTCTCCAGAATTCCTTAGGTCAGTTGTTATCTACTGAACCTTTATCGACTTCGGACAGTCTGTCTCTCAACATGCCAGACAATTGGAGTAAAACTGCGAGTTCCACCATCCTCTCTGCAGGCCTCAGAGCCAAGTTCTGCATGTAGTTGCCTTCCTGATTCATGCCATCCAGAAAGATCTGGAGTGGTTGGGCATGCTGCTGGGCAGTGAATGGCATCAGGGTGGAAGGGGGCTCAACTTGAGACTTGTTTTAGGCTGCCCCATTTACTACATCCCAAAAAAGCAGCGGCCAGTTGATGAGTAAGTAGCATCCATTGGGTTCATACAGAAAGATTGGGATGGCACCTCATCATTTTTGATCATGAAGGCTCATGAAGTCTTGTTTGCGATATATTGTTGAACGGACCTGCTTGGAGGGACTTCAAGCAATCTACCTCGCACTCGAAGCTAGAAGGGTTGATGCAGACAAGTGCTAACTGAAAACCACACATGCTTGACTAGACTCGAAGCATGGCGCCTGCCCCAACCATGAGGTTGTGGGTACAGTCAAGGTCTCTGTCTCTGGTATATGACGGTATATGCATGTTTACACGACACTTCTGCTCGCATTGGTTCTGCTTCGGAAAGAACGGGTCGACTGCCCAAGGACCCTGGACACCATGATGCAGGCACGGTCAAGGGCCCGCAAGAGAGTAGTGGTGGTTGTTTTGGCACGACGAATTGCGCAGCTTGAAACAGCTGCCCTGAAATCAGTCACATTGTTCCTTCACGATTCAATGGGTTGTGGTCTCTGCTCTTCTCTCGTGCTTCCTATCCTGGTTGCAGACTCGGACGGCAGCTTTCTACAGGGGCATGTCAGATTATTGCCCACATGCAAGTGAAACCGTTTTCTAAAACTTTGGGGTCCTGGATGTTCAAAGTCTCAGACAGAATTGCTTTCATTTCTGCCTTGCAACCGTCAAGCTCAAAGGGCATCATTGAGTCCGGGTTTATATAGTTTCAATCATATAATTGCCTTGAGTCCAAGATTCAACAAGAACCTTGTCCAGGCAAGAGCAGACACATTTCCTAGTCTTTGCAAATTCGATATTCAATGGCACCTTCATTCTTTCAGGCCAAAATACTCCTGCCAATATGGTTGATCTTAGGCAGAGAATCTCCCAAATGTTATAAGCAACAACTGGCTTTGAATGTGGACACTTTGCACCGAGTAGGTGCACAGACCACCGATCGTCCTGGGGGGTGCCAAGTGAGTTGCCACAGGTGGTGTCCATGGTTGTGCGTGGGGCGCCCCCCCCTCGAACTCCCAACACCACCCCCTCAGACCACCCATTGTTGGGTAAACCACTGACTTTTTGAAGATGCAATTCTTCACCCTTGAGAGTGCGGTCTTCTTGAGCAGGTCCTGAGCGATACCGCTGCCGAGCCCAGTGAGGTCTTCAGGAAGGTGGTCAAGGCCGTCTCCAAAGTGATGTATCTATACTCACTACGAAGGGCTTCTCCACTTTGGATCTCTTCCAACATGACGTCAGAACCAAGACCAAGAGAGACGTGTGTGAAGCGCAGCAATGTTGCAGTTACTGGATGAAATGTGATTGCACTCAGACTCAAACCTTGTAGGCCTGTGGAGCTGCAGCCCAGACAGGTGGAGCTCTTGGATGTTCCTGTGGCCGACTGTCAGTCGAAACGTTGTTTTTGGATGTTTTTGCTGGATTGTCAATAAACTGCTTCAGTACATTTCTTCGATCTTCCAACTTTTGCTGCTGATGGCGGCTGAAGGGATTGTTCGTTTGGTCGAGCCACTTCCCAGAAAGCACAGGAACTTGAGACATTGGCGTGGCAAGGTTGCTTTCAAGCGTTTGAACTCTCGGCACTCTCCATGAAGAACAGGTGCACGGCCGGCTCGGTCCATTTACTTCTGATGCAGCTGCCAAGGTGCAGAGGTCGACGAAGAAGGTGGGGAACTGAGACAATGCCAACGGTCTGGCTGGGCCTGGGATTGAGAGATCTGAAGTGTCAGCATCAGGTTTTGCAGGTGTGTGAGGGCCTGGTCACACGCCACCCCGAAGTAGAGATGGACATGCAGGGAAATCCTGTTGGAAAGTCAGATCGTCTGAGGCCGGTCTGCGCTGCACCGCGCTGCCTTCAACGGAGAAATGGATGAGGTGGAGCGACTGCTGATAGCAGGTCTTGACATCGAGGCTAAAGACGACAGCCGGAGTCCCGGAGCTCCGAGGGCCGTGGGACAGGTACAGTTCCGATTGGAGATGGAAGAATGTGACAACATAATTATTCAGCTTAGATAGCCCCTTCTAGTTGAACGAAGAGAACAGCTACATGTTACTCTTGCAAGATGTCGCCTTTCAGGGCTTTGGATCCTTGCATGACTACAAAATAGATCAAAATAGATCAAACGAGCACATCAGGAAATAGACACGACGAAGGAAATCGAAAGACGCATCCGCTTATTAATTGCGCTCCATCCTTTTTCTGTTCGTCCTTCCATCCAAACACAGATGTGGTGACTTGCTTATTGACCTTCCTGGAGAAAGCGCCTTCGATTCCGCACGGCCGAGGTTGGTACACACCGCTGCATCTGGCCGCGGAGTCTGGCCACCTCACCGTGGTGAACCGGCTCATTGCCGCTGGCGCCGCCCTCGAGGCGACCGACTGGTTTGGCCGGGGGCCCCAAGTCTCAGGGTGACCGGAGAACGTCGATGAAACGTGCCTGCCACAGGGATTTGACACTTGACACCCCCACCAATCAAATCGGATTCGAAGGATCGAAGATTCTGACATGGTCTGGGTGGTGGATTAGGGCCCATGAAGGAAGTGGAAGTAATGAAAACGGGAGGGAGGCAGGGTGAATAAGACGCGGTGCGAGATTAGATGAGTCGATGAAAGGAACACAAATGAAGCAACTGGATGGGTTTTGTGCAGCTTTGATTGATTCTATGCCACTGGTATGGACTGGTCCTAGCAGTTGTCAGAAAGCGACAAGGAGCGATCGGGATATTATGTTGAATCAAGACAAACAACGAAACATTTGAACACGAGGCCTTGAAGAATATCCTCTGCTGCCTTTTCCGTCGCTGCTGATGCTCCACTCCCTGGTTTCGCGACCGGATTGATCCGCCCGAGGCGCGATGCCCCTCTCCTGGGCGGCCGCTCATGGCCACTCGGAGGTGGCGCAGCGGCTCATCGAGGCCAGGGCCGATCTCGAGGCCAAGGACGATGGTGGTCGGGGAGCCTGGGAAAGGAGGTCTGTGGTGTCGAAGAAGGGGTGCAAAGCCGCACAGATGCAGGTTGTTAAACACGAGCCCGGACATGTTTTCATCGGGTCGGAATGCGTCTAAGCTCCTTTGTGCAATTGCTTTGGCGAGAAGAAAGACTTCAGACACCACCAACTGACTGAAAGTCACGTCCTTCCACCTCAAAGTTGAAATTCGACTTGTGCAACTTGGGGACTGGAAGATGATAGAGTAAAGACGGATCACGGAAATCACTTGTAATCATTGCAATCTCTTGCAATGGATTTGAGATCTTCGTCTGTTGATGAACCAAAATCAACCAGAGAATCTCGATGCCTTGAAACCTTCCCTTTCCCTTCTGTCTCGCCGCGGCTAAAGCTCCGCTCCCCACGCTGTGACTGGGTTGACCCGCTCCCAGGTCGGACGCCACTCCACTGGGCGGCCGAAAAGGGCCATTGGGAGGTGGCACAGCGGCTCATCGAGGTCAGGGCCGATCTCGAGGCCAAAGGCAAAGATGGTCCGGGCGCCTGGGAAGGACCGGGAGAACCTGAAGAAGAGGGTCTGTAGTGGCAAGCAAAGAGAGCTGCAATGTTTATGTTTGATGTTGATTCTGTTTGTGCAACAGCTTTAAAGCAGTTGTGAGTTGCAGGGCATTCAGTTGAAATTCTCAATGTTTTCAAGCTTAGGACCTTCACCCTCTTCTGCGGTCTTCCCCTCCCTTCCCCTTCTGTCTCGCCGCGGCTAATGCTCCACTCCCTGCGTCGCGACCGGATTGATCCGCCCCGAGGTTGGACGCCCCTCAACATTGCGGCTGAAAAGGGCCATTGGGAGGTGGTGCTGCCGCTCATCGAGGCCAGGGCCAACGTCGAGGCCAAGGACCATGCTGGTCGGGGAGCCTGGGAAAGGAGGTCTGCGGTGTCGAAGAAGGGGTGCAAAGCCGCACAGATGCACCAGGTTGCTAAACATGAGCCCGGACATGCTTCATCGGGTCGGAATGTGTTTAAGCTCCTTCGTGCAACTGCTTTGGCGAGAAAAGGACTTCAGACACCACCAACTAACTGAAAGCCACGTCTTTCCAAGCAGCCCCAAAGCCTCAAAGTTGAAATTCGACTCGTGCAACTTGGGGACTGGAAGATAGAGTAAAGACGTATCACGGCAATCGCTTGTAATTTCTTGCAATGAATTTGGGATCTTCGTCTGTTGATGAACCAAAATCAACCAGAGAATCTCGATGCCTTGAAACCTTTGCCCTTCTGTCTCACCGCGGCCAAAGCTCCGCTCCCCACGCTGTGACTGGGTTGACCCGCTCCCAGGTCGGACGCCATTCCACTGGGCGGCCTTTGAGGGCCACTGTGAGGCGGCGCGGCGGCTCATCGAGGTCAGGGCCGATCTCGAGGCCAAGGATGAGGATGGTCCGGGCGCCTGGGAAGGACTCGGAGCACCTTAAGAAGAGGGTCTGTTGTGGCAAGCAAAGAGAGCTGCAATGTTGATGTTTGATTTTGATTCTTACAACAGCTTTGAAGCAGTTGTGAGTTGCAGGGCAAATTCAGGGCGCCTGATTTTGATTAATTGAGGAAAACGTTTTGCCAGCAGTGTTTTTGTGTGACTTTGATCCCGTTAGTGCAACAGCTTTTCGAAGCATTGTTGGAAGCATTGTTAAAAAGTCAGAATGCGTTCAAACTTCAAGATGCTGGGCGAACCTGCCAGGACTGAAGAAGTTTCTTACTGTTCACGTGTCTGCTCGTGGGTGCCTCATGGTGGCCGCTGCACTGAGGCAAAACCCCATGGGACTTGGCCAAAAGCAATGGCGACGAGGATGTCATGGGTGTTTTGCGCCCTGTGCCTCGTCAAAGCAAATGAAGCCTGCAGACGGGTCAGTCTAGGGGCGGTGCTTGGTCTGAGAATATATATGAGGCGAACCCTCATGACTGAGGAGTTGATGGATGTTTCATGGTGTTTGTGTTTTTGTTTCGTGACAGATCACCAGTATGGAGACCAATACCAGAGCAAATTCAGTATCGCTGCCAAGTTTCAGTGCGACCTTGCTTCACTCCTGAATTCATTTTGTTCCATCACAATCACAGTCGGGAGCATCTCTTCACCACATTCTTGCTTTCAGGGCTGGAATACCTTTGCGCTTGTCGCAAAGCCTAAGTTGTTTGTTAAGCTTCTTCAACAACCCAACCGCATCCAGAGAAGGTTTAGGGAGTCATCCAAGTCGCGGTTTCCACCGTGGCAAACGGCCGAGGTCCAGGTGGGCCTGCTGAGTGGTCGCACTGTTTGTTGTAACTTGGCTCCAAGTCAGTTGGATTGACTCTGGGCATTAGCCGTTTGAACCTTTGAACCAGCTGACGGTAGATTGAGTGATATTGCGTGCCTTCCTCAGAATGATTGAAGATCTTGATGCTTTTTGTTTTCTTGCTTGGACAAATTTCTCCTAAGTTGTCTCACCTGCTACTGCGGGAGTTGGTGTCCGCTTGAATCTGTACAGTTTGGGAACGCGATGGGTTTCTTTTCCTTCAAGAAGTGAGATGTAAATTGCTCACTGTGAGGTGACCCGAATCCCGGTCGCACTGTTCGCGAGCTGCGAGAAGAAGCCCAGCAACTTGGCAACGAGTTGGTTGCCAAGTCAGCAAGGAACAGGTGGACAATCTCTTCAGAAAGTCTTGTGCTTCGGCAGACAAGCTGCTTGACATTTTGCCGGTGCTTTTCTTGAATAGACTGATGATCCACCTTTGCATGGGCTCGTGTGACGAACTAGGGAAGTGTGCACGCGCTGGTTCGGTCGATTTGTTAGACAAGGAAGCTTCAATACACGGTTAGCTGAATCAGTTTTGATCCTGTATTCGTGATGGTGCAGCGCTCATGCCGTGGTAAAGCCCTGACCTTCCTCTACATCGTGGTGCATTGCGGTCCAAAATCAGGTGTCAACCTTGGCCTGGCTGAGGTCTAAGCTTGGGCCTGGGTTCCAGATCCAACAGCTCCTCACAGGCTCTGGACAAATACTGTGCATCCTGCATGTTTTGAGTTGAGCTGCCGAGCTGAATCCACGTCCAAATGGCACCTTTTCAAACAAAAAGCCACCAGAGTTGAGGCAGGTTAATACTACAGTCACCGTGTTCACAGAGTTACAAGGTTCATCGTGGGAGATCCCCACCTAGTCTGGGAGGTTTGAGAAGGTCAATGGTGGAATGCCAAGGTTGTCGCCCTCATGGCACAGCATGTGCTTGTCAATCCTGTTTCCTGGCAAAAGAACCGTGGCCCACTTTGCCGTGCCAGGAAAGACCCTTTGACGCTACAAAAAGCTGGCATCACTTACGGGGACTTCGTTACGGCCATTGCCCTGGCCTCAGGACATCCAGCACATCAGCACACTGCTGGAGACCGTCCGTTTCAATCCGCTCCGAGAGTAGGTCTCCAAAGGGTTCCGCGAAAAGACTTGGTGAGATGAACACAAGGGTTCCCAAAGAGTAGGTTTACCAAAGGGTTCCGTGAAGAACAGCGCTTTGGCCATGCTTTGCCCTTTTGAGGTCAATGAAGATGAGGCGCACCCAGATGACATGTTGTACGCTCTGCATTGTTGCACGCTCAGCCATATGGTCGTGGTGTTTTGGGATCAACGTAAAATATATCCATCGTAGGAGGATGGTTCGGGTGGTGCAAATCAACATCGCATTCCAACACATGGCTGCTGCAAGAGTTAATAGCGCCTTGTTTAAATGGATGTGGGTCCAACACGGTAGTTTGATGCAGAGCTTCAAAGAGCTTGTTCTTTTCATAAATACTTAGATACGCATTGCAAACATGGCCTTGTTGACGGTTTTTTCAGCATGGGCATGGGATGACTCATTTAATCTAGAGGGGCACAACTTGAATGACCAAACGCTTTCGGAGCTAGATGATCAAGAGAGCAAGCAAACCGATCCAACATAGTGACGCTTTATCTTCAAATCCTTGCCTGCCAGGCTTCAGTGCAGCCCTGAGAAAGCTTTCTGGAGTCATTTGCTTGTTAAATGATCCGGACTCAATGCGTGGAGAGTGACCTTGACAAAGGAACAATGTACAAAAGGCGTTTCTAAATTGGTATTGTAGACAGCAAAAATGATGGGTATAGAAAAGAGGCAGATGACTGGCACATGGTGGCTTCTCCAGTCTTACCGGGGAGCTTTTGAGCCACGGTCTCGGGTCCAGGTGGCAGGAGAAGCAGCACGAGCACCAGAAGGCAGCAGATCAGATTCATTTGCAGTTTTTTTGTACCAGATTCATTAGTTCAGCAGCAGCACCTGTTGTGCAGATCACTCCTCATCGCTGGCGGAACCTTCTAGCAGCACGGACGTGCAATCCTTAGATTCGGAGTGTTCCCCCAAGCTGATGATCTCGTCGAACAGGACCCCTGAGCAGCCGAGGCCACGGTGAACGACACAAAGAGATGTTCTAGTTGAAGGTCGGGGATCTGACAGGGCTCGGTGAAGCCACAAACGGCTAAACCGAAAAACAAACTGTTAGGCTCATTGCTTGGACTGAAAGTATCGAGGTCTATTTGGGGAGTAGATGTCGCTTGCCACCATGGCGCATCACGGAAACTACATGGGTATAAGCTATGACCTAAGGCCTCACAAGGTATGCGAAGTGTAGCAAGTCTTTCTGACATCCCAAAACAACACCGCAAGAACCAGGACCTGGTGGTGTAACGGCATGCAATTGACTTGATGTTGACTGTCGATGCTTTAGAGCCCCCCACTGTTGGAGATGTTTGACACGTTGTAGGAATCTCTAATTAAGGAGGTTGTTCATTGACAAGTCATCATGTTGATTTCTTGGTCCTTTGACGACTTGTTCTGAATCTTGGCAACTGCGAGGCCACACCTGGTACTGGGCTGGTGAGTCATGAGACCCATTTCGTTTCACACACGCAGGACAGGACCTTCGTCCTTCTCACCTGGGCCGAACCTTCGAAGAAGAGACTTTTATTGATCCCGCAACTGCTGAATTGGTAGCTGTTGAAGACCTCACAGGTGGTACGGAATTCTTTGCTTCCAGGCTTGCCTTCAGGTAGAAGGTGATGACAAGAGCTTTACACCTCATGGTGACGGGCATGCACAGAGCCGCGCAGAGAAAGGTTGACATCTGCGCTTTACCCTTGTATGAAGTCTGACTCTGAATGTGATGTTCAATAGGAGGTTGTGTTTTGTTAAAGCTGAGAGAGTCCAGCCGCTGCCTTCGGTGATCTGCCGATCGTCTCCGTGTTTCGCACGCGTTGGCATTCCTCACGTTCCTCACTGGGGGTTCGTTGTCGGCATAGCTTTGATCCGGTTGGAAGTCTGTCACCCCAATCGACCATTGAGCTGCTTTGGCTCAACGACTGCCCGCAATGGGGGCCAAAGCAGCTCAGCGAGGCGCCTTCCTCAGTGAGATGGTGAATGAAGCCGTTTTGGCTGCGAATCCAACAAGTTCTTCAAACTGTTTCAACGCTTACCGAAACAAGTGAAACAAGCTTGCATTCGGCTTCAATGATCTCCGACACCAATCGGAACATCTCTGGCACCATGTCTGGCAAAGGGATCTTCAAATTGTTTCAAAGATGTAAGCTCTCACAACAAGGCCAAAAGGAAGCGTGTCCAACTTTTGCTGATTTGGGTCACTTCATTACTACATTATTATTTCATGTCCTTTGCCGACCCTGAGGTGGAGGTCAGCAAGGCGGAGGCAAGTTGAGATGAGTGACAACATGACTATATATGACCATTATTGACAATTTATGATCGTTTTCACCTGCTTTCATCCTTTTCAAACATGATCTATTATATCGTGAGTGATACTATTTATCACAGCTACATCCCATCTCCCACGCCTCGTCTTTTCGTTCCCGCCGGGGCGGCAGGTCCCTGTGTCCGGACCCGTGGTGGCCTCGGGGAGGAGGGGATCGGTGGGGTGCCAAGAGCTTCAGCTGTGACGAAGGAGGCCTTCCAATGCCCGGAGTGGTGGTTGGATATATGTTCAGATCAATGTTGAGTGTAGAGCCTTATAGTAGCGACAACATGGGTTTGAGGGTGGGAACAGGTCAAATGCCTATCAAGCACTGGGTGCTTAATTAGTGCTTGGCATTGCTATATTGCATACATGGCCAGAGAACTCTTTTGATAGCCGGTGTTTTTTGGTGTATGAGAGACACCCGATCGCCGCCGCAATGGGTAGACTGCTCTAACGACAATACACCTTCCAGGGGGTCGACCTAGTTGAGTGACCCGCCTTTCCCACATTCATATTTTGGGAGCTATCCCACATCTAAAGGCGGAGAGCCTCTAGACGGATGTGGAGACCCGCCTTGACATTCCTGACCGTTGCGCGAGTCAAAGAAGAACCCGAGCGTTCATTTGACATAAAGCAGATATTAGACGAATTTACGATACCAGCGCCTTCATTTTCAACAACTACCAAGTCTGTGTTGTGCTTTTTTGGTCCGTCTTGATGCAAAGTCTCAGTTTCACCGTTTGTAGATATGCATAGTCCACCAAATGGCAAAAACGAAACCGCCGGGCGATGGAAGATAGGCCCAGCCCCCACAACGACTGGCGCCCATCTACGCTTTACTGGAACTGCACGATATACATCAATCGGCTTATAGTGCTTTTTCAGATTCATTCGGAACTCGCAGAAACGACCCCGCGGCGGACAGTCGGCAGACGCCCACCTCCCGAGCCAACGACTAAGGGATGGGTGACGGTGGATGGCAGAGGCGGACATGTCGGACACAAGGGACCATTCGTGACTTGGGTGTTTGACCATGGGGTCTTCTTTTCTTAAGCCTTAATGAATTATAAGCTTCGTCAGACGATCGGCAATCGTTTGTTTTGCTTGTGTGGTTGGTCGGAAGATTTGAATAGGTTCGTAGCTGTGGTCTCAGGCAAGCGGACCCTGGCTGCAGTCCAAGAGTTCTATCTTACTATCTTAGGATATCTTAGGAACAGGTTGAGTTAGTAATTACCATCCGGAGTCTAAGGTTCTTTGTCAGTCTTGTTCCAAGTCTATATGTAGTTCAATTAAGCTCCTTGGGGCGACCTTCCGAATGTGCCTTTTAGCTGCTTGATGCTGCTTGCATCTCTTTTGTGTCTTGTAAAGGGCCCAAGGGAACTTCAGCTTTTCTCTGCAGTTCCCTTGACCCAGAAGATTCCCTTCTTTGCAGCTCTTTGCAGTTCCCTTGTTCTTTGCAGGTTCCCTTCTGTGTCTTGCATTCCAAAAGCCGTGGATTTGACCCGGGACTTCTTCCCGAGAGAATCCAAAGAAGGAAAACGGCCTTCGCAAGGTGAGGTGGTTTGTCTCAACTACTGCCAATGAGACAAAGGAATTGGTGTGGAGTGCATGTTGGGCTCTGACCGCAAGTGGATGGGAGATCTTCAGATTGTGAATATATGTCAGGATACCCTGCAACTGCTGGAAGTGGAGTAACCTTCAACAGGTCTAAGTCTTGCAACAGGTCCAAGTCTTCCACTTGTCATGACCTATTCGTTTATAAAGGTTGATTCTGAGAGACCAGCAACAAGTTGAAGGAACCCGCAAACCAAGTGTCGCAGAATCCACTTGTGACCCGGCGTCCTCCTACCATTTCTTTACTGCTTTACGGTCACTTTCGAAAGAAACGCCTGTGTCATGGAAGTGGTGGGGACCCGGAAGCACGGCCCACGATGCTCAGGCCAAGTGCGTCTGTTTAGTCCGCGCCGCCCGCGCGGGCGCGTAGATGAAGTCCGGGGCCGGGCGCGAAGGGTGGCATCCTTCTTGATGATCAATTTTTGTAGATGTCTTGAGACTTTGGACAGTTATTTGCCAGACTTCTCCAGTATCCGGAACCCACCATGCTTTGACACAGCAAGTACCTGGTACCTTTAGCTCGGTATTTGTCTGGCAGGATGTGTTCTATGCTTTGCTCCATGGCCCCGACTTCAGAGGGCATAGTCCCAACCGAAGATGGACAGTCGGATGGGAAGAATCGACTCGTTTTGGGTCGCCACAGTGGCGGCTGAACAGCAGCCGTCAGTGCGCAGCACGGTCGCTTTTCAAGAGACAAAAAGGCAGAGTGCTTGGGAATTGAGAGCCAACCGATTTCCCCGAGCGTTTCTTTTGGGGAGTTTCTCCTTTAAAATTGAAGCTGCCTTTCCTTCCGGCTGCACACGTTGAAGACACAGGTCCACTGTTCAACTTTCTTTCTTTGTCTTCAGAAACGTACTGACAAACACACAAGCAGTTTGTGTCAAAGTCAGCAAAAGCTTCTTCAAGAGAATGGGGACAGCCACAGGCGTGTGCTATTTGCGGTCGACCAGCCTGTGACACAGGCTTTCATAAGGTCTCAGGTACGATTGTCTTAGCAGATCGTCAGGTTTTCTTGTTGGGTCTTCTTTGGAAAGCTGGGTTGGCAGTAGACCCCTGCCTGGCATTACTCTCATGCTTCACTGAACGAGCCAGCGGCAGCACTGCAGCTACCATTCCCGTCACTGTTCATGCCCTTGCCAACTGCGTTGTCTGGAGGCTCAACGTACAGCCAGCCAGGTGGCAGGTGAAGCCGGCGCTGATGGTCAAGGAATGTGACGGTGGCCAACACCCAGAAATATCGTCCAACATGCGCCCATATATGCATCCATCATCATGATATATGCAATTTTCTGTTGAGTCCTGGCAGAAGACCTTGCTCGAAAAACACCCTTGCTGGAAGCTGTAGTCTACCAAACCGAGTGTTTCAACTCTGATGCTAAGTGTGAAGCCAACGGTCTCGGATTTGCGCTCTCCCTTCCCAACAGCCTGTGAAGCATGGGGAGCTGCATGTGTATGGAGGCTTTCTTCCTGTGGATGAGGGGTTCTGGAGACCGGTTTCCAAAGATTGGATTTCTCTACAGCCAATTCATACTCCAAGTTGGCAGATTTAAGAGGGTCTTCGTCCAAAGTAAGGGCCAAGGGTCTTTCTAGTATGAGGAACCTACACGTTTTGGGTTATACAGGTTTCATCATTTTTTGTGGGTCTTCATAGTCTACAGCTGTATTTTGACAAGCAGCGGATTCCCACCGGAGTCGTTCTCGCAGCCAGCGGGAGTCGTTCTCACAGACATGTGGCACAGTAGGTCAGTAGGGTTGCATATAAAAACCGTGGTGTGACTCAAGTGTATGGGACCTTCAAAGCTGAGAACGTTCGGCGTGTCATGCTATGTTCGAACCCAACGCCCATCCAAACGGACGCGTAGGGCGTAGGCGTGTTTGAATGCAGAAATTTGCACCACGACGCGGCAAGACCGAGTTCGGTTCGCGCCGGATCGTCGCCTGCTGCTCGTCAGGTGGCCGTGTGCCCTGAACCTGAGGCGCGAGATATGACGAAACAGCTGCTGCAAACATCGGATTTCGCGTTGAACTCTTTGGTGTCCACGTGTTGGAGCAACGGTCTGCTCGCGCGCGCGCGCGC